CAAACAGCCTTGTTACGAACAGCTCCAGCTGCTCCAGCTCAGAGTTTTACTCCACTTGACACTCTTAAATCTTCTCCCAGAAAATGAACAAGCCCCCCCACCCCCACCCCGACCTGGCTTTGAATGCATAGACGGTAAAAAATAACATATAACCATCAATTCCCAATTCTTCTCCTGAGACATATGTTAAAAAGATGGCAAAATAGTCACTTGGTTGCTTGCGTGAAATTCACAGTGTTTTCCCTGCAACATATATAGATTATTAATTTTTTTTTGCTTCATATTTGCAACGAATGTATAAAAATGAAATCAAAACAAGCGTTAACCTAAGGCTCTATGAGGATCGCTCGAATCAGAGCAGCAGTATCTCAGCCCTGATAAGAAAAATACATCTTTGTGTGCTATTAAACCTTCACATTTAGTGACAAGCCACAATGCGCTGCCCCCCCTCTGGCGCACTCTCTGTTCCCATGGCAACGCTTTCAATGTGCTCCCAGGGACAACGGCCACCTCAAGAAGACAGTCTTCTTAGACAACCGCTGGCTTCCTTGGGAAGTTGCTTGTCCTGCAAAAGCCCACGCCACTCTCCAAAGAGTAAAGAGAGAAATCAGGAGACAGCAGGGTTGCTGTTGTTTAGGATTGTGAGGCTTGGCGCCTCGTAATTTTTTAGGATTATGAGGGAACGTGTGGGTGGGTGTTTCTGCCTGAGGCAACAAATGGCTACATGGCCTGGGTGGGGTTGGAGTGAAGAGGCGATGCTGCAGACCTTGTGATTCCCACTGACTGCTGTTTTTGAGTGGCTATAGGCATAAATGATGATTTACGTGTCAGAGTAAACAAACCCCATTCAGAAGAAGAGTCGCCTTCCTGACGCAATGCAGGACCCTGTCCCTTTGCAAAGCCCACTTGCCCCCAAGGCTAGCTGAAGAAACGGAGGGTGGAAAAGAGAATACAAGAAATCCTTCTGTGGTTCTGCTCAGCCAAAACATCCTTCGTTGTTTCAGTTGTGCCCTTGCAATTATATCAAAAAATGAAGCCTAGACATGAGAGATGTCTACAAAGCCCCCGGCTAAATTTGTTAAAGGCCGCAGGTACGCTTGCCATTTTTGCATTGCCAATATAATAAAAGACAACAAAGATTTGCATAAAATTTGTGCCTGGTCACATGGGCTCGGGAAAGCCTTTAATCAAGATAAATGGCCTTTGCAAGAGTTTTATATCAGTGAGCTTGGGAAAGTTCTCCAACTTCTTAGACGACCACAGCTCCAAAGTCTTTGGAGCTTCCCTGAACTGTCTTCTGTGGGCTACCTCAGAGATTACAGATGCACAACATCTGTGATCATTGTCCAGGAGAAATGTCTGAGAATTGCTCATTCAGAAGTTCTCTCGCATTGAACTAGCACATTTCACCACAAAATTCACAAAAATTCAGCTCTGCTGCACAGTGGCAGACCTCCATTTTTGGGTCCCTGTTATGGGGGCCCCTTCGCAACCATTAAAGAGGTCTGGGTAACCACTGTTCTCTTTTTCAGTTGGGTTGCTCTAGGACAGATCACAATTAAAAAAATAAAATAACTGCATCATCTCAGATTTTGGTTAAAATTGCTGCACATGTCAAAGTCACGGGTGTAAATAAAACTTTCCTATGCCTTATAGTTTTCCGGTTACCGTGACTTTTGGCATCTGTGCTACTGACACTCAGACTTGAGGGTTGTTGAACTATATACAACAACAAAAAATATCAATTTGAGATAGGCAACTCAAATTAGGTCTACTGAACCCAAAATTGTTAAGCCATGTGGACTAAAATGGCTTCTGGGGCCCCTCTGGGATGAAGCTTAACCTTCATTAGTTTCATAATAATAATTTAATAATAATTTATTATTTATACCCCACCCACTTGGCTGGGTTTCCCTTGCTGCTACAACACTTACTGGAAAGTCTGTTGCTTTCCCAGTGATTCCATCCTACCCTCTGTGTGGCACCTTTGTTTTTCCAGCTTAGCCTTAGAAATTCTACTGTGCATAAATGACATGTGAAAACTCACACAATGGAAGTTCATGAAAAATAATAATAGCAAAAGAAAATGAGGCAGGCTAAGTCAAACTCTTAGACCAAAAGGATACTCTTAAAACCAGTCAGAAAGGAATTAATAGGGCTATTTTTATGCATTTAGTAAATCTGCTTTTTAGAATTTATCTGGTTAGTCAGAACTGCATGCAGGTTAGATACCGATCACCAATATGTGGAAAAACATACAATATTATTATTATTATTTTAAAAAAACCTAAGGAAAAATGGATGATAAATGGATTTTGGTTACTTAGCATACTTTGTCAGCCTTCTGATCTACCTTGTCTTTTATATATCACCAGTAAGAAGATATGTGCAGTGTACACAAATGTATACATATACACAAAATCACATATGTCTGCATATGTATAAATCAAATATTTATAAAACACATATACAGGTATGTATCTACTGTGGATATATACACAATGTATGCAATCACAGACACATATCTAATTTATATTATATCTATATGATTGTAGCATAGTCAAGAAAGGTTTCCTCTTTATTTATAAGCCTGATTGTCATATTTGCTCAGTATATAAAGTTAGCCAAAGTTGAAAAACATGACAGATATGTACACAGTAGATGATTAACCTTTCTTTTCCCATTTTAGATTATATTTCTTACTCTTATTTTCCTGTCAGTTACCTATAGTTATATCCACTTGAATGAATAAATGCCACTGTTGCCTTAGCGTTTAGTTAGTTAACACCTTTCCTACAAGGCCAGAAGATTTTATTCACTTAAGGTCCACATTTGCAGTACAGGCCAAGATTTAGGCACAGAACAATGGCTGTATAGAACATTTGGTCCTTTAACATGGGCATATGGGTAAGCTACTGCACACTATACTATAACACAGTATTTTTATTACTCTCTTATGCTTTTCCAGAAAGGGGGGTGGGGAGAGGATACCATCTGGTCAAATTTTACATTTGTTTTGGTATACAGTCCTTCAGCAATCATACAATATACATGGTTACTTTCAAGCTGAGAATCTAAAAAATGTGTATTGAGAGGTGAAATAAGGGTACAGTGGTGCCTCGCAAGACGAAAATAATCCATTCCGCGAGTCTCTTCGTCTAGCGGTTTTTTCGTCTTGCGAAGCAACCCTATTAGCGGCTTAGCGGATTAGCGCTATTAGCGGCTATTAAAGGCTTAGCGGCTTAGCGGCTAAAAGGCTATTAGCGGCTTAGTGGCTTAGAAAAAGGGGGGAAAGCGGGGAAAAATCGCAAGACTCGCAAGACGTTTTCGTCTTGCGAAGCAAGCCCATAAGGAAAATCGTCTTGCGAAGCAACTCAAAAACGGAAAACCCTTTCGTCTAGCGGGTTTTTCGTCTTGCGAGGCATTCGTCTTGCGGGGCACCACTGTACTTTTGTTAATGAGGTCTGTTTCCGTATTAGTCCCTTTTCTCTAGGAATGGCAGCTATAGATCGGTCACACTTTATCAAAATTCCAGGCGTTCTCCAGTGATTTCTGTATTCTTCTCTCATATACTCAGACCTGATTTGTAGCAACCCAACTGCAACACCAGCTTGTCCAGCGAGGAAAGGCAAAGTGCAATTGCAGCATTTTTGTGCTCCTGTGCCTTTAATTAAAGTTTCTTGTTTGCAGAGCTGTTTAATGCTTTGGGATGAACTGCCTGTTCTTTGTGCCTTGAATAGCCTATTTTAATTGCCACAGTGTTAGTTCCATTCATGCTGGGTAGAGGGAGGCTCTAAATTTTTTTCTTTCCTTTTTTTGAATAGTGAAATACCACTATTTACTATTAAACTGCAAAAGAAAAATAAATAAAAGGACATGCAAAATTAAAGCCAAGTTTCCTCTACTGGAATCTAAACCGACAGGTCCTAGAAGCAAGAAACTGTTAATTAACACTGGAAAGGACCTTTATAATACAGTGCTTGGAGTCTCCCCTTTAATTCCACTTTCAACTAATCATACTAACCAATGCCTCAGCAGTGCTAAAGCAACAAAAGATTTTGAAAAATGACTTTGGAATGTAATACATGGATGGGTGTGCCTTTTAGTGATCTCTGACATCTCAAGATTTATTTCCCACATTTTTCACATATTGGAAATGAACTAGAATGACACTTTTAAAAAGTGGTTCTTGAAAAGAATGGATGAAAGAATGGACAAGACCGAGTGTTCAACATTTCTTCTTTCCATGTAATAAATTCTCAGCAATCACTAAAATAATCTTCAAAGTCCATTTCATATTAAATATCCTCAGTCATTAAAAAATCCTGTTCAAATCTTATTTAGGAACATATATATATATATATGTATATGTATATGGCCATATATATATATATATATATATATATATATATATATATGCAGGTTTTGGTGTCCTCGGGTGTCTTCCCGTGTAAAAGTTGGGGTGTCTAGGCGACGTTTCGACGAGGTCTATCTCGTCATCTTCAGGCTGGTGCTTTCGGCTTCTTGTTACTGGAACAGAGCAGGATCTCAGTGTTTGAGTTCCTATAAATACTGTTGAGGGGGTGTGGTGTATAGCCTCCAATGTTCTGGGCAGAGAGGAAGTTCCCAGGCTAGTGTGCCTTTTCTTCTTTTGTTCCTTAATTACTTGAGGGATATCTTGAGTGATTTCTTGAGTGATATTCTGAGTACCACTTAGGTGGGTCATTAGGTGTGGATTAGTTGCTAAAGCCTTCGTGTCTTGACCTCTTGAGCTTTGTGAAGAGTTTTTCTGAGAAGATGGCTGTACTGCACTTAGTTGTGCTCTGGCTTGGCTTCGTGTATAGGGGCGAGCTGTGGTTTTGTGTCCTGTGTAGGGATTGCAGGGGGGTGCAGCATCCGGAGGTGCCACCATGGTTTGGCTACTGGATGGTGTCTGTAATTTATCTGTGGAGAGGGTCTGGGTTTGGGTCTGGTGTGGTTGATTGGTGATGGCGATATATACACATATATATATATGGCTTTAGAGTTACATTGTTATATGTATTCTTCACCAACCTTTGTCAATGACATAAGAGAGCCCAACTTCATCACTATTTAACATTTGCTATTTTAATTTAGATGTAAAAGAACAGTTTCTTTCCAAACTACTGAGGGACAAAAAGAAAGTGCCTTAATAAATAAGAAATGCAAGCAAAACATATATTAAACTATTATGGAAACACTTAGAAAAATAAGTGCTTAATTTTAAAAATAAAATGACAATAAAACATTGACAAGCTGTGCGTTTATGACCCCATTTGTTTTAGTAAAAAATAACCCCTATTTTTTGCAGCACTTTCTCCACAAAGGTAGGAACTGACTTTGATTTTATCTCATCTTAAGGGTTTATAATAGAAATTACCTGACATGCACATCCTAGACCTTTCACATTTGTGTGTCACGAGCTTGCCTTCTTCAGCCCAGCAGCCATGATGAAAAGTGTAAACGCACCATGCCTGTCAATCGTAAATAAAAAAAGACCGGAATACCACCACTTCATCAAGCAGACTCCAGTGCGAACTCTGAATCTTAATCATTCACCAAGTTAATAACCGTACTGTCGTTTCCCTAGAGACTTCTTGGACCTGTTTTCTCACAAATGCCATATAATCTTCGGTACCAGCCTCTTGCGCCTGCGACAATGTATAGATGTTTGAATGTAGCTAATGACCTTCCTACAACTAAATATATGTTTTCCGTCATGAATTTGCTACGCCTATTTGGGTGCACAATGAGATGAGCAACTGTTTTCAGCACAAATTGCTGGGTATTAATCAACAGGGACCATGCTGGGTTGGGGTTTGCACAGGGAGAAGGGGAAGAGGAAAGGGGGGCGACAGCAAGGGCTCGCTGTCTGAACAGCATCATATAAGAGAAGCTTCCCTCCTGTCTTACGGAAGCATTCATATTTTAGGAATTGGCCTTGGTAATTATACTACACTTTAATATACCTCAGCCCTCGCCTGCGTTATCAAAGACTCACGGGAGAACAATTGTACCAGTGGCATCAGAACAGAACGAAATAACAGCCTATCCGAATCAGGCCCAATACCTATCTTAGTACAGCATCCTGTTTTCACAGTGGCCAACCAGATGCCTTGGAGAAGCCCACAAACAGGAACTAAGAACAGCAGCACTCTCCGCATGTGTGATTCTCATCAGCTAGTATTCCGAGACATCAGAAATCCCTATGGTTAAACAAGGCTGGAGCATATTGCTATGCAATTCTGAGATGTCTTGGCAACGCCTTTTATACAGACCACATGGATGCATCTATCGGTGTAAAAACGGCGGCACACTTAGATGTGCCTTTACTCCTCTAAACATTTCCCAGGGGAAATCACTGAATTCCTTCCCATTCACCAAATAATTACATCGATATATTAAAGTGGTATATCAGATGCCATCTGATCCTATAGTTTCTCCTTAGAGTGGATTACTCAATCTGCTGATTTCTTTCCCTCTGGCTTGATCTCAGCTAAAACAAGATTCCCACAGAGAATACCAGTCTTCAGTTTTTCTGCCCAGATGCCAAAGCACGTGAAGAAGAGGTGAATCCATAGAAGCTCCAGATATCCATACAGCAGAAGTCACAAAGTTCAAGTCATTATTTCCCTTTTTTTATCCAGGTCAAAGGCATGAATACAACAAGGCATTGTTAGTTGTGATGGGCAAAACTGAGTGTCTGTTGATATAACAGGTCAGGTTTTTTTAAGGCCTTTGTCTATGCAGAGTTATAATAATGCAGAAGCCTGATTGAAGAGAAATCGAGGGGCAGGGACAGAGACACAGAAAGAACGAAGGGGAGAAGAGATACATGTCAGTAATGTCACAAAGTCAATACTGTGTCTACAGAGGGGGAAATGCACACAGCTTGCCCTTTGAAAGCTTCTCCATATCTTTGTATTTAATACTGTCAGAGTTGAGAACACATTTTAATGGAGTTTAGTGGCAATTGAACACATTCATTCACACACTCCGTAAGAGGAAGTGCCAGGAGTTTCTATCCCAGAATATCCAGGTACACTGGAGATGCCTTGGCCAAGTTCTGAAGCAGGCAGTGGATTTCTTTGATGTTGAGCCTCATATGAGGCTCCCGCTGCCAGCATCCCAACATCAGATCATAGACTTCCTTGGGGCAGGTGCGAGGTCGCTGCAGGACACGGCCCTGAGTAATACACTCAATTACCTGGAGTAAGAGAGAGAGAGAAGAGAAAGGACAAGGAGCAAGCCAATTTATTCTTTCTTTTATTGCTGATTTGGGCAATTAGTCAACACATCCTGAGAGAGTCACCCACCTCCCAATTTACATGTGCCAAACACTTCTGCACTCTTATCTTTCTATAAATGTTCCACTTCCGGCAAATGGATCCAGCCAAATACACTGCCTTTGAGACCATTTACCACCACAGACTCCCTGGAGAAGACACTGATGCTGGGAAAGATGGAGGGCACAAGGAGAAGGGGGCGACAGAGGACGAGATGGTTGGATAGTGTTTTCGAGGTTACCAGCATGAGTTTGACCAAACTGCGGGAGGTAGTGGAGGACAGAGGTGCCTGGCGTGCTCTGGTCCATGGGGTCACGAAGAGTCGGACACGACTAAACGACTAAACAACAACAACCACCACCACCACAGCCCGACTGCATTTTTAAAAGCATATCATTTGTACAACAGCACCCACCTCATTGTTTGAGAGCTGATACCATGGCTGTTTGCCGTAGGTAAAGATTTCCCATAGAACGACTCCAAGGCTCCAGACATCACTTTCCGTGGTGAATTTTCTGTACATTATGCTTTCAGGAGGCATCCAGCGAATGGGTAACATGGTATGTCCACCAACCTGGATAGAAGAGTTTGAAAGAATTTAAATGGTTTTTGTGGGAAGAAGTATATAGAGAAAGGGACAATACATGTTTTAAAGGTTTTGCAGTGCAATATATTATTTCCTGTTATTGTGAATTTGTGTCTCATTAGTACATCCTTCTGCCTCTTGTTATCCCCTACAATCTTCATCAAGGATGGATGGATTCTTCGCTTCCAAAGCAACATTCTTTGAAACTTTCAGGGACTTTACACTATAGTCCTTTACAGTACTTCTTTTGCAAAGTATCAGGAGAGCCAAAAGTCTGACCAAGATTTATGGAGCATTTTCTTCCAGCTGTATGCCTGAGTTTAGCAGTAGCATATGGATGTTTGGAGCATACAACTGCATTCAGGGCTACTGATTTATTTGGAGAAAGCACCTCTGTATGCACTTAAAGACATGCAGAAGTGTTTTCTCAAAAAGGAGCCATTGTTGACTTCCCTGAAATGAAGGCATATATACTGGTTACATTTGTTCTTAAATGCTTTCCTGGTTAAATACGGTGGACAGAAAATGTATCAACAGTTTGTGGATTACTCATTTTGTTTCACTGCACAGAATATTTGACCATGGCAATCAATGAAAATCACTTTAAACCAGGTTTTACGCCATCTCCAATAAGGAGCTTTGCATCTTACACACAAAAAGGCATACAGTGGGTGGTATTCAACTAAACTGTGGTCAGAGTAGACCCATTGAAATGAATGGCCATGACTGCATTAGAGCCATTAATTTCAATAGGTTTACTCTGAGTAAAACTTAATTGCTTACCACCAATTTTCATTCATTGACTGTTTGCTCCAGATTGGTTGTGCCAGAACACAACAATGACTAAAAGTCTACAAGCAAAGGATTGGCTAGAGGTCTCCAGGCATCCCCTAGTGAACATACAAATGGCTCAGCTCTCAAGTCACCGTGTTTCAGAGAAGCTACAGCTGGCAGAATTACTCTGCACTGCAACTTGAAAAGGTGCAGCAGTCCAGTTAGCATCTAGGCCAGCGGTTCTCAACCTGTGGGTCCCCAGATGTTATTGGACTACAACTCCCATCATCCCTGAGCTCTGGCCTTGCTAGCTAGGGGTGATGAGAGTTGTAGTTCAACAACTTCTGGGGACTCGCAGGTTGAGGAAGGCTGATCTAGGCTCTAGGAACAGCCAGCTACACTCTTTCCTTGGACATATCTGGGCTCTAACATGAATGAAGCAGACCGGCCGCTGCTCTCTGATGTTCCTGAGACATCTGGGGGCTTCCAGAGCACATGAAGGATTGGTATCAAAGGTGTCAGAACCAGGATGTGTAAAAATACCCATAACTGAACTAATATGATCTGTGGCCGAGATCTGTGTGGAGAGTATAGTGTTACTAATGCATTGCCAATATGCACACCAGACACAAATACAACATTCAGTTTCTGACCCTTGCTCTAAGATGCACTGCGAGAAGCAAGATGCTATCCTTGGCTGCATTTTCTCAGTGGGTGGGTGAGCATTCATTAGGAGGTTGAAAAAATATAGAGAGACCCTTCGAAATCTGTGGCTACACACCAGAGCAAAGGGCAAGCACCATTACAACATTATTAGTTGCTAGAGGCTTTTGGTTCATGAAATATTAAGTGGCTCTTAAGCCTATTCATCACGTGGCATCTATGACTGCTTTGGCTCCGTGGGTTTTATGGGACAGTCTTTTAAAAATTAATGAAAGCTGGTTGTAAAACACGGTTCGCTCTTTTATTGAGGTTTTGTTTTGATTTAAGCTTCCTCGCTATCATAAGAAATGTAAATGCCTATTAGAAAAAGAAGGGCACCCTTCCTCTTATTAGCTTCCCCATAGGTAGATATTCCAGAAGAATAACATACACTAAATGTAGGAGTCTCATTTGAGACATAGCTACACACATACAATCGCTACATAAAGATGCTTGGGCTGCCTCAAGGTAACAACAGAAATGTTTTTATTCATAACTATAGATACAAAAGGGACATGGGTGGCACTGTGGGTTAAACCACAGAGCCTAGGACTTGCTGATCAGAAGGTTGGCTGTTCGAATCCCCGTGACGGGGTGAGCTCTCATTGCTGGGTCCCAGCTCCTGTCAACCTAGCAGTTCGAAAGCACCTCAAAGTGCAAGTAGATAAATACTTCCAGCGGGAAGGAAAACGGCGTTTCTGTGTGCTGCTCTGGTTTGCCAGAAGCGGCTTAGTCATGCTGGCTACATGACCCGGAAGCTGTACCCCGGCTCCCTCGGCCAATAAAGCGAGATGAGTGCTGCAACCCCAGAGTCAGTCACGACTGAACCTACTGGTCAGGGGTCCCTTTACCTTTACTATAGATATAAACACACACATACAATTAAGGCACTTAAGCTACTTAACTCCCAGCCCCCTCTATTGCATCATCCTAATCAGTTTTGTTGCACTGAACTTCTGCACTGTGGAGTCTTCCAGAGTACTTGTTGTGGGGGAGGAAGGGAAAGGAGAATGTTAGCCGCTTTGAGACTCCTTAGGGTAGTGATAAAGCGGGATATCAAATCCAAACTCTTCTTCTTCTTCCCTTCCAACTCTACAGTTCTATGATACCTCATGCTAAGCTTATGAACAGCTGTTGTCTAATAAACAAGATATAAGTTGTATAGCCTTTTATACACCAAACAGTGATTCATATTGGTAAACAAGAACCCTCATGGCTCTGATCCCCTCTCTCTTCAGAGTTAGCTCATTGGCTTTTTAATGATCACAGTTTGGCTATCGCTCTAAATAGACAGATATAATTCAGCATCTCATATTGATGCTGTTCCAGCATTCACTACTTCCTTGTAAGCCAATGTGGGCAATGTTCTTTGCACAGGAATATTACTCATTTCAGGGTAATAGTCATCTTTTCAGTCTCGAGATTTTTAATTTGTGGTATTGTCAAATATACAAATACCGCAGATTCTGTCCTCTCCACAATCCCTGCTTACGAAAGCTAAAAGAAAGGCATATTTTCTCCAAAACGATGAACTGTTTTTCCAATCGGTGCAATATTTTCTGGTTGAGAGGGCAGAAAAGGTAAGGAGGGGATATTTGGTCTGGAAGATACTCATCTGGTGTTCCTTATCAGCTCTTCCCTCTCTGTTACAAAGACACATTAATGTTGGTATAATGGTGATCTGTCATTCAGCTCGGCATGCCATTAGTTTTAAATGAGAAAACTCATTCTCTTCCCATTCATGCCCACTCTGCTTCTGCAAGGGTAGAAAACACTGCCTGCTTTTGAGGGAGTGTGCTGTAAAGACAGCTATGGCACTGCATACTAATTGACACACTTTAATGATTTCTTTCCCTATTGCTCTCTCCTCCCTCTCTGCTCGCTGCTCCCCTGACTTGCCGGTTCCTAGCACAGAAGGCTTGCTACCATGGAAACGAAGTCTCCGAATGTGCAAACCTCACCACATCAACATCTTGAGCATACTGCTGGTGAATTTCAAAAAGGTACATCAGGCTAGAGGATTGGCAAAAAGAGGGGGATTTCCTTCATGGGCAGACTGTTTAGGGTCCTGGCAGATTTATTATGGCCAAGAGATCAACACTCACACATATATCCCACCAACATATTGTGCTAAAATGGTACATTATTATATTGCATGCGCACCCTGCTTACTACGCAAGAAACTAGCAGAACCAAAATAGACCAGCAAATCTACTTCTCATTCCTTTACCAAGGTGGCAACCCCTTAAAGGCAGATATTCCTTCTTGTGTCTGGGGAAGTTTAATGACTCAGAATAAATGTGTTCCTGCCACTGGTACACAAGATGTAAGCAGTACAGATGCCAATCTGTGAAAACATTCTATTGAGTCAATTCAAATGATGCCTGAGAGATCTACAGGTGCTACCCAATCATAAAATCAGAACCAGAGGGAAGGTGACTCAACAGGTGGGCAAAGCCCTCTGCCAGCGGGGTGATTAAGGGGCAATGGCTGAGCTGGAGCTATTTGCCAGAGCTCACATGCAGGCCACTGCAGGGGCAGGATCCAAATTTTAAAAATAAATTGGACTTGGAGAGCAACACACAGTTGGAATAAATGCACTGTACAATCATCATTTTATCCTGCTCAGTCATTTGTAGGCAGGATGGCTAGGGCAGAGGAGCTACAGATTCTGAACAATGGGACTGTCTCAAATTCCTGCTGCTAGTGGTTTAAGTCTAATTGAGAGTGTTTCTTCTCAGGAAACTTAAATATTATTATTTATTTTATTGAAAATAAGCTTTAAAAACAAAGTTCTTCAAAACAGGACTGCCCACCACACCCTCACTGTTCACAGTAAAGACACTTGGAGTACCTTAGTGAAATACCTAAGCATACTTTTGGGGTTAACAATAAACTTGAGTTAACTTCAGATGTGGGACATGGGTGGCGCTGTGGGTTAAACCACAGAGCCTAGGATCAGAAGGTCAGCAGTTCGAATCCCCGTGACAGGGTGAGCTCCCGTTGCTCGGTCCCTGCTCCTGCCAACCTAGCAGTTCGAAAGCACTTCAAAGTGCAAGTAGACAAATAGGTACCGCTCCGGCAGGAAGGTAAACGGCGTTTCCGTGTGCTGCTCTGGTTCACCAGAAGTGGCTTAGTCATGCTGGCCACATGACCTGGAAGCTGTACACTCGACCAATAAAGCGAGATGAGCGCCGCAACCCCAGTCGGCCACGACTGGACCTAATGGTCAGGGGTCCCTTTGCCTTTACCTAACTTCAGGTGTAACTACAGTTTGGCAATGTGTGAACAAGCCTTGCACTTCCTCTTTCCTCCCACCTTCATGAACTGTTGAGCTACTTCCTTTCTCAACCACACCACAGTTTGCAGTTACACCTGAATCATCCAATTTGTATTTGCCCTCCAAATAAAGATAGGAAGTCACAATGTCAATGTGGTTTGCCATCTTGGTTTTGGAGTGTATGTGCACAGTTTTGTTGGCACACTATGGACTGCATGGAAGAGAAAGTAAT